TTGGCTATTCAGCAAACTCAGCTTGACCAAGGCAGTAGGGGAGGGGGTTTTGGGTGCCACGGAAAGGGCAGCTTGACCCCGCATCCTTCCAGATAAGAACTGTGTTGAAGTTGCTGATGCATGCGTTTTAAAAGAGTAGGATATGCCCCAGGAATATCTATTGAGGTCTCAAGGCTGCAAGTTCTGGAAAAATCCACACCTGGCTAATCAATAGTCAGAAGGAACCTCTTGCTTGAAACTGCTTACTTAACAAGGTTTCTTTAAGGGACATATCCTTGTATTACTAATGTATAAATAAGGGGGGAAAGCTTGAGATAGGTGGGACTCTCCTTTGGGGGACTCTTCAGGACTGGTCTCTCCCTCTGGATGCATCTTGTGTTCCCCACCAGCAGATGGGCTGCCACTGTGCCACTCGAAAGCCACACTCAGCTTTGGTAATTATCAAAGGTTGGGGGTGTTTTACTAATCTTGTTGCGGACGTGTGTAAGTGCTTGAGACTAGTAAAGTTTAGCTTTAAGTGAAAGCACTCTCGTGTTGTCCTGTTTGTGCCAGCCATCTATTGGTCAGACGGCCGTGTCTCCCCTGATTTATTTCCTGACACCACCTCATACAGAGTAATGTTACGAAGAGCTTTGGGTTGAAAGAACCCCGAGTAACAGGGGGTTCGGGCTTACTTCGGGCTGCTCCTGGTCAGTGGTGCAGTGGGGGTGCTAAGGTAGGCTTTCTGCCTGTCCTGGCACCACGGACCGTGCTGCGCCTGAAGCGGGCAGCAGCAGGTCCGACTCCTAGATGGAGGTGTGCGTGTGGCTCTTGTCCGCAGGCACCACCAGCCTCAGCTCTCATTGGCCAGTTCCCAGCCAATGGGAGTGTGGGGCTGGGACTGGGGCTAACGCGCGCGGATCCCCGTGGCCCTGCTGCTTAGAAGCCAGACCTGCTGCTGGCCGCTTCCGGGGCCCAGCATTGTGTCGGAACAGGTAGGCACTAGCCTGACTTAGCTGGGCAGCACCGCCAATGGGACTTTTAATGTCCTAGTCGGTGGTACTGACCAGAGCGACCCAGTGCCTTACATGCCGCAACCAAGTACTTGGTCGTGACCTGAACTTTGAAAAACGCTGCAGTAGACCATCTCTCAGCTGTGATTGGGGTTATACTCTTTTGCCAGGGGTGCATCCCATGAAAGTTTAGCAGCCCGTGGGCTGGACTTTTCTTCTTGAGCAGCAGGGAGGGAAGGGAACAGTTTACCCCCAAACTTCCTTCTACCTGCCAGCAGGGCTAGGGGGAGAGGGGACTCTTGGGCTGATTTCCCCACGTTCAGCCCTCTCTCAGGTAACTAGGGTCACTCTCTTATAGTCTCATATCAGCACTTATGACCCTATCCAGATCAAGTGTTCTCCTTCACTGCAGAGCCTACAGGTGATTTGTAATTCTCCTGGGCTCTGCAGCGTTGGGGAGTTACATGGTGTTCAGTGGGATCCTTCCCCCTCCGCCCTGCATCTGTGTAAACCCTCATACAGCTACAAAATTTTTCCCAGCCAGTGTTTGAGAAAGTGCCTTCCCATGCATCCCAAGCAGTCAGGGAACACTTAATGTGGCTCAGAGACTGTCTGACTGGCAGATCCTTTATGGGGCTGCAGTTCTCAGGCAGAAAAAGAAGAGGGAGGGTCACTAAAGGCTTTTTGTGATGCTTTGTACCAATCTCTGGCTGCCACCCTGGAAGACGACTTGGCTTTGGTAATACACCTTCCAGCTGGATTATAGCAACACAGTCTACATGGGGAATGAAACTGTCTGACATAGAAAACTACAAAATGTACAATAGTACACAATGCAGCAGAGCACCTTCTCAGCAAGCAATTCAAAACAGTTCTCCACTCACTACACTGGCAACCTGTAGAATAAGAACTGCCCTATAACATCAACCCGATGGTCCATCTAGCCCAGTATCCTGTCTCTGACAGTAGCCATTACCAGGGGTGTGTGTGTGTGTGTTCAGAACAGGGTAGCTGGAATGATCCCTTCCTGGCTTCTGGTAGCCAGAGCTTTAGGGTCACCCCAAGCATAGGGTTGCATCCCCCTTGACCATCTTGGCTAATAGCCAGTGATAGACCTATCCTCCATGAACTTATCTAGTTCTTCTTCGAGTGATTGCTCACGTGTATTCCACAATAGGTGTGCGTGCTCGCCACATGCACTGGTGCCTGAAGTTTTTCCCCCAGCAGTACCCATAGGGGACTGGCCCTAGCAACCCCTGGAGTGACGCATCTATGGCGTGGTACAAGGGGTGCTGTGTGCTCCCCCCACCCTCAGTTCCTTCTTGCCGCCAGTGAAAGTGCATCGGAACTGCTCTGCTCCAGTTTGTCAGCAGCTTTTCTCTTGAACTCTTGTTCATTCATAGTTAGTAGTACCTGTAGTTGAAGTAGTTTAGATTGGTGTTAGTTTAGTCTAGTGCGCCCGGGTTGGGGCATGCTCTGTGCCCCGGGCTTTAAGTCATGCGACGCAGGCAGCCGATGCCATTGAGTGACCTGCCCATGAACTGTTTACGCTGTCTGGGGGAAACCCATCTCAGTGATTGCTGCAAGATTTGCACATCTTTCAAGCCTCCGACCAAGAAGGAAAGGGACATAGGCTCCGAGCCATTCTGATGGAGTCGGTGTTGACCCTGACTCTGGTGCGCTCTGAGTCGGCACTGGGTACCGCGGTGTTGGTGTACGGTGACCCTTCGGTGCCTTCCACCAGTCGGCACCACTCCCCATCCACATGGCACACCAAGAAGGCTAAGAAGAGGTCTTCTCTGCCGAGGCACTGGAGCAAGACCGGGGGAGAGACTAGACCCTCCAGGCCCCCGGCCCATTCAGCGCAGGCTTCCCCGGATGTTCGGGTGCCCTCCACGCTGGAGGCCCTGCAAGCGGCCCGGGATGTTATGTCTCTGCTGGTACAAGGGGCACCGCCACCGTTGGCTCCCTGGTCCAGAAGCAAGCCACCACTTGGATCTCGTCAATCACCTCCTGGTCAATACCGTTCATGGTTGAGGGAAGGTTCCCGATGCCGTTCGCCACTCAGCAACCATCCCGTGCGTAGTCCATAGAATCATAGAATATCAGGGTTGGAAGGGACCTCAGAAGGTCATCTAGTCCAACCCCCTGCTCAAAGCAGGACCCATCCCAGCCAGGGCTTTGTCAAGCCTGACCTTAAAAACCTCTAAAGAAGGAGATTCCACCACCTCCCTAGGTAACCCATTCCAGTGCTTCACCACCTTCCTAGTGAAAAAGTTTTTCCTAATATCCAACCTAAACCTCCCCCACTGCAACTTGAGACTATTACTCCTTGTTCTGTCATCTGCTACCACTGAGACCGGTCTAGATCCATCCTCTTTGGAACCCCCTTTCAGGTAGTTGAAAGCAGCTATCAAATCCCCCCTCGTTCTTCTCTTCTGCAGACTAAACAATCCCAGTTCCCTCAGCCTCTCCTCATAAATCATGTGCTCTAGCCCCCTAATCATTTTTGTTGCCCTCCGCTGGACTCTCTCTCCAGTTTTTCCACATCCTTCTTGTAGTGTGGGGCCCAAAACTGGACACAGTACTCCAGCTGAGGCCTCACCAATGTCAAATAGAGGGGAATGATCACATCCCTCGGTCTGCTGGCAATGCTCCTACTTATACAACCCAAAATGCCGTTAGCCTTCTTGGCAACAAGGGCACACTGTTGGCTTATGTCCAGCTTCTCGTCCACTGTAACCCCTAGGTCCTTTTCTGCAGCACTGCTGCCTTGCCATTCGGTCCCTAATCTATAGCAGTGCATGGGATTCTTCCATCCTAAGTGCAGGACTCTGCACTTGTCCTTGTTGAACCTCATCAGGTTTCTTTTGGCCCAATCTTCTATGCCGGTCACTGTCGCCCCCCCACCAGGGTGTCTCGCTGGGTTCCGACTCACAGGGGTTCCAGGCACCGCTTTGCCTCAAGGGACCGTATACCTCGCCAGGGGAGTGGGCCCCGTCGAGACTGAGACAGATGGCACTGGAGTTCCTCATCTCCGAGAGGCTACCGTAGCCCGTCGTGATACGGGTGTCAATGCCATTTCTGTTCGTCGTCTTGTTCCAAGACCCTATCACAACACCGCTCCCGCAGTCCCAGGCATCGATTGCTGACACCTCACCGTCGCAGATCCGCCCACCGGACCAATCGCAGAGCAGCTGCTACCAGCGGTACCATTCCCCTCTACGTCAAGTTCACGGTCTTGTGGTTGGCACCGTTCCCGACACCACGTCTCCTTCTGGTCCCGGGACAGCAGTAGGTTGTACGCCAGCCCGGCCTCCCTTCATAGACGTCAGTTGATGGGACAGGCTAGTGAGGCTGAACAGCCTGCTCTGCCGATGCCACAGCAGGTGCAGTGGCACTGGGCTCCTTGCCCAGCACCGTGGTACCAATGGGTCCTGTGGCCCCCGACGCAGCCCCCCATGGGGCTTGCTCGGTGGCCGGAGCCTCGGAAAGACAGTTGGCCTCCCTTTTCCAGCCTCTCAGAAAGGAGTCGGTGGGGCATGCATCTTCAGTTCCGCGCCTGGAGGGCAACCAAGTGTGGAACCTCCAGTACCAGTGGGTATGCAGAGTACCGCGCCCGTATTCTCATCTTCCCCTGATGAGGACTCTAAAGCCCACCAGGAACTATTGAAAAGGATGGCATCAAGCCTCATCCTTCAGGCTGAGGAGGTGGAGGAACCCTCGGACTCCCTCTTCAATGTCCTATTGGCCTCGGTACTGGGCAGGGTGGCCCTCCCACTCCACGAAGGGGTAGCAAAAATTTTGAACGCCTTGTGGCAAACCTCAGCTTCCTTGACCCCCATCTCTAAGAAGGCAGAACGGAAGTACTTTGTACCTGCCAGGGAGCATGAATATCTGTACACCCGCCCAGCCCCCAACTACCTGATGGTCGAGTCGGTCAGCCATAGGGAGAGGCAGGGCTAACCAGCCCCTACTCTGAAAAATAAAGACTCAAGGAGGCTGGACTTATTTGGGAGGAAGGTTTATTTGTCCTCGAGTTTCCAGTTAAGGGTGGCGAACCATCATGCTCTCCTGGGCCGGTCTGAGTTCCATTTGGCTCTCTACCCAAATTTGAGGACTCCCTCCAGGAGTGTGACAAGAAGGACAAGCTCTGGTGGAGGAGGGTACAGCGGCTGCCAGGGCAACCCTGCAGGCAGTGTCGAATGCTGCGGATACAGCTGCAAGGTCCAGGGCCTCCGTGGTGTCCATGAGGAGGGTGTCATGGCTCCTGCTGTCTGGGCTATCCAGTGAGGCGCAGAGCTCCCTGCAGGACCTCCCCTTGATGGCAAGGCCCTGTTTGCGGAACAGATGGACGTGAAATTGCATGGCCTGAAAGATTCCCGCACTACTCTTAAGACATTTGGCCTCTATGTCCCGGCTCCGGCCAGGACCAAGTTTAAGCCTCAGCAGGCTCCCCCCAGGCCACCCACTCTAAATATGAGCCCCATTATAAAAAGTCATGGGACTATAAGAAATGCCCGCAGAGGCAATCCCGATTTGCCCCCCCAGCCTGGGTCCTCCAAGGGTAAACAGGCTGGGAAACATCAGTTTTGATGGGACGCCCGGAGGTGATCTACCAGTTCTTACCAGGGATCCACCCGCAATAAAGCTTCCCTTCTCTAACCGGTTGTGTGCTTTTCTCCCGGAGTGGTTGCGACTGACTTCGGACCATTGGGTCCTCAACACCATCTCCCGGGACTACACCATCCAGTTTACTTCTACCCCGCCCAACCACCTTCCATCCCCGTCCCTCCTGAGGGACCCCTCTCATGAGGCCCTGCTTGAGCAGGAGGTGGGGCAGGTCCTTGGCTTAGGAGCAGTGGAAGTGGTGCCAGTGGAGTTCAAAAGCAAGGGGTACTACTCCCGCTATTTTCTCATCCCAATGGCCAAAGGGGGGCTCAGGCCCATCCTGGACCTGTGAGGTCTGAACCAGTACATGGTAAAGCTCAAGTTTCGCATGGTCTCTCTGGACTACATCAACCCCTCCCTGGATCCCGGGGACTGGTACACTGCCCTCAATCTGCAGGACGCGTACTTCCACATTCATATATTCGAGGAGCACAGGCGCTTCCTCCGTTTCACGGTTGGGCAGGAGCACTACCAGTTTACGGTCCTCCTTTTGGCCTGTACACTGCTACCAGGGTATTCACAAAGTGCCTGTCTGTAGTGGCGGCCTACCTCAGACGTCGTGGGGTTCGGATCTTCCCCCATCTGGTCAAGGGCAGCTCCTGGTCACAGGTGCGGGATCACGTGGTGCTACTTCTGCCCACATGCGCCACCCTGGGCCTGTTGGTGAACGACACCAAGTCCATGTTAGTCCCGGTACAGCGCATAGAGTTTATCGGGGAAGTCCTGGACGCGACATCGGCCAGGGCCTCCCTCCCACCGGACAGATTCAAGACCCTGAAAGGCCTCAACGGCACAGTCACAAGGTTCCCTGTGATGATAGCCAGAGCATGTCTCCAGCTCCTGGGTCACATGTTGGCGCGCACATATGTGATTCACCGTGTCAGACTCAGGATGAGGCCTCTCCAGCTCTGGTTGGCTTCGGAGCCTCCCAGGCCAGAGACAGGATGGACGAAGTCCTCACGGTGCCCAAGCCGGTGATTGCCTCCCTACAAAGGTGGTCCTCCCTGAGAAACATGCTCCGTGGGGTCCCCTTCAGGGGCAGGCCCCCGTCAGTGGAGCTGGTGTCTGACATATCGGACCTGGAGTGGGGAGCCCAGGTGGGGGACATTCAGACCCAATGTCTATGGTCCTTGCACCATATAGAAACGTCAAGGAGCTCAGGCTGGTGGCCTTCCGCTTTCACCTGGAAGGCAGGTGGTCAGGGTTCTCACGGACAACACGGCCTTGCCTGTTGATGTAAAACATCAAGACGGGGACTGCTCCTCTGCCCTCTACCAGGAAGCCCTCAGGCTGTGGGGACTTCTGGATCGCCCATGACATTTGCCTACAGGCCTACCACCTACTGGGTGCCCAGAACTCACGGGCAGATTGCCTGAGCCGAGACCTCTCAGCACGGGTGGTCTCTACACCCAGCGGTGGTGCTCAGACTTTTCCAAGAGTGGGGAACTCCACAGGTGGACCTGTTTGCTACTCGGCAGAACTGCCGGTGTCCCCGGTTCTGCTCTGGGGGGGGGTTGGGAGGGGGTTCTATTTCCAATGCCTTCCTCCTATCGTGGTTAGGCCAGCTTCTGTATGCCTTCCCCCCGATCCCGCTGATCAGCAAGGTCCTGGAAAAGATAAAGAGGGCCTGGGTTCCTGATTGCCCCAGCGTGGCCCAGGCAACATTGGGACCCTCACGAGCCTGGCAGTCGCCCTGCCGTGGTTGTTGCCATCTTGCCCGGACCTTCTCTCCCTCCACCCCAACTTGGCGGCACTCCACCTCACGGTATGGCTGCTCAATGGTTCGGCTGGGAGGAAAGGACATGGTCGGAAGGGGTTCAGCGTGTCCTCTTGGAAAGCAGGTGGCCTTCCACGCGTGGCAAAGTGGTCTCGGTTTTCCTGGTGGGCGGCTGAGCGTTTCCCCCGTGGCTGCCCTGTTCCAACTCATTTTAGACTACCTCCTTCACCTTAGAGCCCCAGGCCTGGCGCCCTCGTCGGTCAAGGTGCACTTGGCGGCTATATCGGCCTTCCACCCACCGGTGCAGGGGCACACAGTATTCTCCCAGGGTATGACTGGCCGATTCCTTAAGGGATTGGATCATTTCTTCCCATACGTTAGGCCTCCAGTCCTGCAGTGGGACCTGAACTTGGTGCTGGCCTGGTTGATGGGTCCCCCTTTGAGCTGCTAGTACATGCTCCGTGTCGCCCCACTCGTGGAAGGTAGCCTTCTTGGTGGCAATCACATAAGCTAGACGGGTCTCAGAACTCAGGGCCCTGACTTCCGAGCCCCCGTAGACGGTTTTCCATAAGGATAAGGTCCAGCTCTGCTCACATCCTTCATTCCTCCCGAAGGTGGTCTCCGCCTACTACATGGATCAGGTCATTTTCCTGCCGGTCCTCTGCCTCAAGCCCCATGTGTCCAGTGAGGAGTACCACCTCTACACGCTGGATGTGAGTCTTCACAGCTGTTCATCACCTCAGCCGAACGCCTAAGGGGTCGGCCAATTTCCACTCAGAGGCTCTCCAACTGGATCACCTCATAACTTGGCGGGAATCCCTCCGCCATCAAATGTGAGGGCACATTCGACTAGGGCGCAAGCCTCTTGGCTGCCTTTTTAGCCCATGTCCTCATTCAGGACGTTTGCAGAGCTGCCACATGGTCTTCAGTTCACACGCTCACCTCGCATTATGTGATAGTCTCCCAGACCAGGGAAGACGCTGGGTTCGGCAGGGCTGTGCTCCATCCCAAGAGTTTGTGAACTTCAACAGTTATAGCTTGGAATCATCTCCTGTGGACTAACATGAGCAATCACTTGAAGAAGAAAAGACAGTTACCTTTTCCGTAACTGGTGTTCTTTGAGATATGTTGCTCATGTCTATTCCACATTCCGCCCTCCTTCCCCTCTGTTGGGGTTGTCTGGCAAGAAGGAACTGAGGGTGGGGAGAGCGTGCAGTGCCCCTTATACCGTGCCATAGAGGCACCACTCCAGGTGTTGCTAGGGCTGCTCCCCTATGGGTACTGCTCGGGGAAAAAACTTCCGGCACCAGTGCACGTGACGAGTGCGCACACCTACTGTGGAATAGATCTGAACATTTTCCAGTTCCACTATATCTTTTTTGAGATGGGTTGACAAGAACTGGACACACTATTCAAGGTGTGGGTGCACCATAGATTTATACAGTGGCATTATGATATTTTTTGTTGTTGTTGTGTTCTATCCTTTTCTTAATAGTTCCTAACATTCTGATAGCCTTTTTGACCACTGCTGCTTATTGAGGTGAAGTTTTCAGGGAGTGACTCCAGGATCTCTTTCCTGTGTGGTAACAGCTAATTCATATCCCATAATTTTGTATATATAGTTGGGATTATGTTTTCCGATGTATATTACTTTGCATTTATCAGCACTAAATTTCATCTGCTATTTTGTTGCCCTGTCACCCAGTTTTGTGAGATCCCTCTGCAACTTTTCACTGTCAGCTTTGAATTTACCTCTCTTGAATAATTTTCTATCAGCAAATTTAGTCACTTCCAGATCATTAATGAATATGTTGAACAGCACAGTTCACAGTGCAGATCCTTTGGGGCCCCTGCTGTTTACCTCTCCATTATGAAAACTGACCATTTATTCCTACCCTTTATTTCCTATTTTTTAATTACATTAAGTTCAAGGTCTCAGTCTTTATCTTCAAGATGCTTAACCATCGGGAACCAGAATGCCTAAAGCGTCATCTGATCTTTGAGACAAGGACCACAGCTGATAACTCTGCTCCTCTGGCATGATAGCACTGTTAACAGCAAGCGTAAAGCTCATCTGTCCAGGAGACAGCTTTCTTGAGGGCTAGTCCAAGTTTACAAACCAATTTCCACAGGTTCTAAGAACTACCCCAAACCTCACCACCTTCCATTCTAAATGCAAACCACCTTTCTTTAACCTGCCTTCACCAATAAAAACAGAGCACAGTAGCCAGAAATAAAATTGTCCTCTTTACTGCAAGCAGTGACTGGGAAAGGACAATAAAGAGCTTTCCTTATCCCATCACCAGCTCCCAGTTTCTCCTGTAGAGAAAAGAGGGTCTGTACCCCAAAACAGTATTTTTGTGGGCCTTCTGAGTGTGATTTTGAGTACAAAAAGCACAAAGAGAGCAAC